GCAGCAGTTCAGTATCTTGGATCTACGTGATGCCTACAACCAAATTCTTCTAGACGAAGATTCGCGCAAGTTAGCGGTTATAAACACTCACAAGGGCCTCTTTTGTTATAACAGGCTACCGTTTGGGATAGCCTCGGCCCCTGCGATTTTTCAACGAACAATTGAGCAGGTGCTGCAAGGCCTCCCAGGGGTTCAAGCGTACTTAGACGACGTCCTGATAGCAGATGCGAACGATAAGCCAACTGCGAACCTGCAAGCAGTCTTGCAGCGGTTCAGGGAGTACGGCGTGAAGCTCCGCGCGGACAAGTGCCGAATAGGTGAGGAGTCAGTTACGTATCTAGGACACAGAATTGACGCGGCAGGGTTGCACCCGTCAGACAAGAACATCGAAGCAATTAAGCTGGCACCGACTCCTCACAATGTCACGGAATTGCGGTCTTTTTTGGGCATGCTAACTTTCTACAATAAATTCTTGCCTAATCTGTCCACGCTCCTGAGTCCCCTATACCTTCTTCTGGAAAAGAAATCGAAATGGTCTTGGGATGAGCGCGAAAACGATGCCTTCCGAAAAGCAAAAGCCGTTTTGTGTTCCGCGCCTGTGTTAACTCACTTCGATCCCGCACGAGAGCTATTTCTGGAGTGCGACGCGTCACCCTACGGTGTGGGAGCGGCACTATTCCACCGAATTGAAGGACAGTATCAGCCCCTTGGATTTCGATCCAGGACGCTTACTGCCGCAGAAAAGAATTATGCACAGATTGAACGTGAGGCGTTGGCTCTGGTTTATGGCGTCACGCGATTCCGAGATTATCTGCTGGGCAGACAGTTCACGCTTCTAACCGACCATCAACCACTGTTGGGTCTCCTAAGAGCGGATCGTCAGACGCCGGCTATGGCCGCTGCGCGCATTCAGCGTTGGGCCATCATACTTGGTGCCTACCGTTATCGGTTGCAACATCGACCGGGTAAACTCATGTGCAATGCTGATGCTCTTAGCCGTCTACCCCAACCGTTGCAGGAAGAAGTGGACCAGGAGGACGAAGCTCAAGTTCTGACCCTGGACCAGTGGGATCAGCCGGCCCTGCCATGGAAGGAACTCCAGGCACTCGCCGTCGCGGATGAGGTACTTTTCCAGGTACGCAAGTATACCCGGGAAGGTTGGCCGAAAAAACTCGACACGGAAACTACAGAAATCGCCGATTTTTACAAAAGGCGGCATGAGCTGTCTGTTAGTGAAGAACTTCTTTACTGGGGCCATCGCTTTGTAGTGCCGACAGCCGCACGCGGGAAGTTGCTAAGACTACTGCATGAAGCCCACCAAGGAATTTCCACCATGAAGGCGAAGGCCAGATCGTTATTTTGGTGGCCCGGCGTAGAGCAAGACATCGAGCGCGTTGCGGCGACATGCCAGAACTGTGTGCAAGCGTTGCCGATGGCTCAGGCAAAAGAACCAGTAAATTGGCCCGAGACGCACGAAAGGTGGTCGCGGTTACATGTGGACTATGCGGGACCAGTAAAAGGGAAAATGTTACTCATCGTTGTCGACGCGCACACCAAGTGGATTGAGGCGCTTCCCGTGTCGCAGGCCAACTCGCATAGCACAGTCGAGGCCCTCAGAACGATATTTAGCCGTTTTGGTATACCGCGCACGGTGGTTTCTGACAACGGGACGCCATTCACGGCACGAGAGTTCGAGCAGTTCATGGAGCGCAATGGCATTGTGCATATTCGGACACCTCCCTATCACCCCCAGTGTAATGGACTAGCAGAGCGAGCCGTGCGCACTATCAAAGATGGCTTGAAGAAGATAGGCGGCACTTGCCTCCTCACCTCACTGGCACGTGTATTGTGCAATTATCGGAACGCACCACACCAGGAGGGTCCTTCTCCCTCAGAGAGGCTATTAGGATACCGTCTGCGCACAAGAATGGAGATGTCTTTTCCTTCCAGAGTCTATCCTGCCAAAGCTGCGAGTGACCCAGGCTGGAATTTCGCACCGGGAGACTACGTGTACGTGCGAAATTACGGCACCGGAGACAAGCGGTTCCCAGGCACAGTGGAGGCTACGCGTGGCACTCGCCTCCTGGAGGTAAAGACTGTGGATGGCCTTGTCCGCCGCCACGTGGATCAAGTTCGCAAGCGGAGCCCAGATGAAACGCCAGCAGCCGACGACATGTCGAGGCCATCTACACCGGTTTCCCCAGGGCCGGTACGACTAGAAACAACGGCGCCGGCTACCTCTCAGAGTACCCCAGAATCGCAACCATACGTACTACGTCGCTCCACACGAGCCAAGAAACCGGTCGTGCGTTTTGGCTACTAAGGGGGAAGAAATGCTGTAACCCATTGAACGACGCGACCCAAGCTCTCAAGTGCGCATGTGCACAATCTTATCCCCCTTCCCTCTCCCCCTTAGTTTCCTATATATATTCACGAGTGTGAATAAAACTGGCTGTTCTTTTCTGTTGGCATGGTCCGACTGTCACGTTTACTGCTGGAGCGGCGTGGCCGCCTCCCAACAAACACATGCATACAGGACGCTTGTGTTTGTAAGACATGAAAGTTACTTTCACTGCATTTTCAAGCAGAGGAAGCTAGTTTCATTTTTCTGTATTCACAAGCAGAGGCGTGGCTGTGTGGTAGAGCATCCACTTGCCACGCGAACAACTCGGGTTCGATCCCCGTCCCCTCCTAAGATTTTTTATTACTCATTTTATTTGAATAGATCTCGATATTTCAGTCACGCATAAGATGATGATTTTTTGCTCCCAACCAACAATGCCGAAATTTCTGCGAAACGAGCTCTTTAACGCTATCACGTAAGAAAGCACAAGAATGAGTACACTGAACGCATATGTATTGTTGTTTATAAATTGCTTTATAAATAAAGCATTTCATTAGGAACATGGATGGCCGGTTTTCATTTTTAGAGGCCCTACCGCCCCCATATTGATTTTCAGTCCAAGACCGAGCAAGCACCCCTTTCCCAAATCTGGTCGGACTATCCTTCACCGTAGGGAGGGGGGACGGAATGATGACTTCGTCTTCATTTTACGATGAACAACTTGATTCGTGTGCAAAATTAGGATATTGAGAAAATCAAGAAAGCAAACAAATGTGTGCACATACACACTTCCAAAACATTAGTTGGTTTCAATTAGTAGACCCTCAAGGCAGTAAAATGCAAGCGCGGCATCATTGAATATGCTGTTGTAGAGTCAACACAGGGTGGAAAATCAGTTGTCCCTCACGTTCTTAAATTAACATTACAGTTGAAATATTAATATCAGAAACTGGAAACTCAGCAGATAAGAAAAGCAATATTAGATGTAGATTTGCAAAATGCTATCTTTGAAAACATTTTTTTATGAATTCCTTGGTCTAAAGAAGAGAACCTTAAGGGGAGATGCAATTCTAAAAATGTTTCGTGAATCTGTAGGCTAGCGAAATCAAACTTTTTGCTCCATATACAAGCTTTCATGCTGATTTCAAATATGTAATTAGTTTTGTAGTAAGTTGCACTGTCTTTGTTTTGTGCTATGACAGTGTAAAATATAGTTCGTTTTGGATAGACTATTTATGCTATTAAAATTTTATCATTCTGAGCCATCAATGATTCATATTGCTCCTCATTAACTGTAGAATGCAAATAACTATAAAGAAAGTGCATATGAGATTTTAATGGGTAAGAAAAATAGTAATGTGAGAATTCCTAGAACGCTCAGCCCAAACTAACTTCTGGCTTTAATCTTGTAATAATTATACAGGCAATATCAAGTTATAAAAGAGAAACTTGCACCATTCACATGTTAAGGAATATCAGAGCAAGATTTCATCCTGATCTGACTATCAGAAGTATGAAAAACATGATCTCTAATCTCATGAAGTTGCCCAAAAATGGATCTTGAGAAAAATGCATTTCGAAGGTATAAGTCGCACCCTATCTATGGGGCAAAGATATGTTTTTAAAGTGATTTCTTCCATCATGAGAGCTTAGCAATCATTGATACTTCGAGTATGTGGCTTTAGTGAACTCCTCGTGTGAAATGCAATGGCAAACAGCCAGGTGACGATTTCCCGGGTACTCTAGACAATTAGCTCTTTTCAGTTTTTGGTAGGCACCTCATGTGCTTAAAAAGCAATTTTAACCTACTCGAGTTTAATTAAAATCTTGTGTTTTTTTTTGTTGTGAAGGTAGAGAAATTAAACTTGTGAAAACAAATAAACACAAAAATACCTAAGTTTGGAAAAAAACTTGATTTTTTCGATTAGAATCTTCTATTAAAGGGATCGACAACTGGTCATAATGTGTCATTTGATTCTGGAGGAAGTTAAAAAGAATGTGATATATAGTAACAAACTCAAGCATTCTTTTCACGAGCTAAGCAGAATTTATAGTTTAAAATCATGTTTAGAAGCAACAAAAGCCCGTTATGTTGTGCAGCCTAGCGAAAGAAACTTGAAGCTTGATTACAGAGCCAATCACTTGGCTATGCGTAGTCAAGTAGTCTAATACTGCCATGTGCGCCATATTTGGTCGAAATATATACTATGCATATTATTGCCCAGGCACGCTGTATTTTGTGCTGCTCTGAGGTAAAAGCAGCTGCATGATGAGAAGTGGCGCTGTCTTTGCATGTCGGGGCACGTGTGAGGTAAACCGACGCGCACAAACATGAACTGCTCTCACATTCACCGTTTGCAGCATGTGTTGTAACATTTAGATTGTGACTTCGTATTTACTGCAAATAAAAAACTTATGATTACAAACCACGCTAAAACTCTGTCATTAGACGCTAACTAATAAGCTTTCCGTTGATTGGTTTATTGTGAAACTTTGCAATAAAGAAAATAGTTACCATAAAATTCGTGGTCAGTCCCTTTTAAGGAAACAAGTGCAACTGGAACTTAGCAGACAGATGTGATCAAGTGACTTGGGTGATGATAGAAACTGCTGTTACAAAGTGACCATGGCACCAACTTGGAATGTCACGAACAGCTTAATTCATATAAATATTTTATTTTTGTAAAAAAAAATAGGGGGTGAGGGGCATCAAGGTCAGAAACGCAAATACATTATCATGCGGCTCCTTATTAAAGCTTCAGTGTCCTTTATAAAAAACATGCAAAGCAGCTGTGGTAATAAAACTGGAAGCATGAAGCTGCGACCTAATCATTTAAATGAAAAAAAAAAAACAACAACAGCAAACTGACTTCGTCAGACTAACACTCCTGTTGTAGGTTGTGATGCTGGCTTCTCACTTTCTCCCCCACTGCTTCCTGCAGTATGCTGGGACTTGGAGGCTGGATTAGAAGAGACCCTAATCTGGATGTTGTGCTTCTCCCGATACTCGTTCACCTCCTGGCCCTTCTCTACAATCTTCTCATTTAACGCCTCCACTGATTTTGCAATCTGTAAAACAAAAAAGACAGCTTTCAGATGCGCTCTCAAGTACAACGTAGCGCACAGCAACAACAAAACTAGCAGAGACAACTTGGCTACTGTAATTGGCAAGTACTGCAGACTGGGTAAGTTGGCGCAATGTAATGTCATCCAGCTATAACATCGGTCAGTTTGAATATTGAGCTACTAATGACAACTGGGCAACTGTAACGTAGCAGTATTATCAGGGGCGTGAGCATGTCTGTCTATTTGATGATCTTTGCACACACATATACATGCTTGCTCGCACACACACACATGCATACATGAACAGGGTTCTCCTAGGAAATTTATTAGGACGTTGACATTTTGAGAATGGGTGTTATGAAGGGAGATATTATGTTTAGAAACTTCAAACTCCCTGTTCTCAACCCACATCCAAATTTCACTTAGAGTCACGCATTTCTAGCATGTATGAATCTTGAAGGAAATGGAATGATTGATATGTGGGGTTTAACGTCCCAAATGAAGAAAATGGAAACAGGGGTGCTTGTGGTGTAGTTGTGGCCATGGAGTTGGGTATCTTTTGAAACCATAAGGCTACCTATTTAGACTAGTATTTACAGAACAAGTGGTCGAAGAACCGACCGTTGGGCAAGTTGCGCAAAATGCCATCCACAAGTGGTGGGAGGCGTGGCTCACTGGAGTTGCGTGTGCTGCACAAAAACTATTTGTTCATTCCTACGGTGTGCATTTCGAAGGCGTCAATCAAGCACCGAACGGCACTTTTCGGTATAACTGCGTGTATACGTACAAACAGTAGAACCGTCATACATTTTATAAGGAACCATAAGAAGTGAACTTAAGAACCAGGATACATGAAAATCAAAAAATATTTTGTGTTAAAAAATTTTATTTCAATGATTACAGTTCAAGAGCCACGAAATGATGCCTGGTGCATTAATCCATACCTGAAAAGCACGAAAAAAAATCCTGATCACCTGCAGTGCCATATCTGGTGCCACTACAGCCAACATCTGTGTGCCCAGTGCATTGCGCTGGCAGTGCCTACTTCTCGGTGTTGGCACACATTTTTCACGCCGCAACCAGTGATCACTTTTGATGATAGCCTTGCAAGACTGTCAACGAATAAGAGGTCTCAAAGCTGTAATGTTGTACTGTTGGCATAGTGTCAGTTTGCCGTGGCGTGGCAGATGGTAGAATGTCTTTCAAAAGTGGAAGTGCTCCCATCAACGATCTTAGAAGAAAATAACCCCTGCTCTGCCAACTCCTAAACTTACGTAACTGGTGCATGCACTAGCTCACCCAACTATGATAGAGTAAATCGATAAGATTGCAGCAAGATGGTGAGTTGGGTCAGTTGGTTTACGTTTATGCTTGAAAATCTTGGTTAAGTACAGAAGTAGTAGACAGGGCAGTGCTTCCCGCCTAGATCTTCTTGTCTATGTTTTTCAGTGTACTTAAAAAAAAAAATTTTCTTACAATACCCGATTCTTTTGTCCCGAGCAGTCGTACATGTGAAAGAACTAAACACATGCAACAGGACCAGTGCGACGAGCCTGACTGCAAACTACACTAATTCAACTGACCAATAACGAAGCCGATGAGTTCACAACTAGCACAGCAGTGAGAATGGAGAACTCCTGTCTCAAAGGAATCACTTTTGCAAATGGTCAAAACAAGTTTAAAGCCAATTACGTCACAGACCCATGACTGCAATAGAAATCTTTAAAGCTACGCTTTTGGCCGCATTCAATGGAAGCACGTTAAGGCAGTGATGTTCCGTGCAGGAAATTTTCCGGTTTTTGGGGAATTTTCGCCAGTCATTTTGGCCAAAGGTGAAAAGAGAATCTTTGTGATATTGCAAGGAATTTCAGGAATAGTTAAACTCTCCTACGACAACCAATAACTAGGGGTCACAGTGCGCTTTCACCTGCTCTAGTCTGCTCTGGCGCATGCACCATGCAAGCATAGCCTTTGAGATTTGTTTCTGATATTTACACAGAGCGAATTCTAGTTCACTATTCATGTTAGACTCGAAGCCTACAATGTGCAGTGTACTCACAGTATACGAATTAATAAGGTCATGCTTTTGGTGGGCGGCAGTGTAGGGGCTAGTCATGATTTCCAATGTCGCCAGTACCTGAGACACGTGTAATTATAGCAGGTGTGAGCGTGGGTGGGGGTGGAAAATAGTACTGTTGTGTAGAGAAATATGCTGGGAATTTCGTGAACGTTTGCAGAGAAAAATCCTTGAAACAGGGAATTTTCATGGCTTTGAATGGGAATTCTTCGGCATAGTACGGAACATCACTGCAGTAAGGGTTTTATTTATTTATTCACATAACCTTACAGGTTCCCATAGGGACAATGAGTAAGGAGGGCGAGAAAAGAAAACACAAAATATAACAGAAGCAACAGAGTGCAAAAACATTACAATGTGGTAATATAACATAATGTATAGAGGAAGGGCAAGCAAGAACAATGAAGTTACAATGGTGGTGTTTAATACAAAGTTGAATAAATGGCAGGTACTCAAAATAAATGGTGCCATAACATGAGCACGAGGAACTAAGTCGGAACACATTTTCAGATATGTACAGGTATATAGAGCTATATTTTTATGGAAAGTAATGCCGGTATACATGGTTGAGGAAGTGTATGGTCAGTGATTGAAGCTGTTGTGTTAGGAAGATCATTCCATAGTGTAACGGCTGTGGGCAGTGCTGATAAGTTAAATGCTTGGGTGCGGCCGTAAATGCGTTTGAAACTTCGCTGATTGTTTAGTCCATTTGACATGCGCATGAGTGTTGCTTGCAACACTCATGTTATTAATTTTATGATCAAGCCAAGGTGCACAAAAAGTCAACATGGCCACTCTTTTCTGTAGTCACTCGAGTGGCTTCCAGTACTTGCACCGGTAGGATCCCTATACATTAGATCCTACCTATGGACAGAGTAGTAGCAACTGGAAAAACACAGCAGTAAAAAACTTAGCAGTGAGGTTTTACTGTACAAAGTTTTACACATAACTACAGCCAAATAATTTTTTAAAAGTGGTTAACCACAAGCAAACGAAAGCAATGACATGTGGTTTGCTATAATGTGGTGTTTATTAAGGTATTTTTATATTGAGCTTGATTAATGAAGATCAATTGTACAATTTTTAATGTATTTCCATAATAATAATAATAATAATAATACCTGGAGTTTTCTGTCCCGAAACCACAATATCATTATGAGAGACACCGTAGTGGAGGGCTCTGAAAATTTTGACCATCTGGAGTTTTTTTAACATGCTCCGACATCAGAAAGCACACAAGCCTCAACTATTTCACCTCAACCAAAATGCGACTGCCGCTGCCAAGAACAAGCTCGCGACCTTCGAGTCAGTAGCAATTTTTTATATATTCCTTATAGGACTTTAGGGCCAAGTGCATTTCCTCATGTTGTAGGAGGCATTCTGAAACAACCCATCTGTTTTTTTGTTTTTTTTTGTGTGTATGGCAATGTAAATGTGATGTGATGACTTTTTTCGTATTTAAAGAAATCCCACAAAATATGAAATAAAACCATGCTACTGTGCTAGTGCACTTTCGTACCGCAGTGCTCTTGAATGTGCTTCTGGCGGCACGTATCGCAGTGAAATGAGCAGCGGTGGCTTCCCAGTGTGTCAGCATTTTTGATGGCCACGCATGGCAAGGAAGCGCCGTTGTCTATAATAAGCTATAGCCTGATGGTCCATGGGCTGGTTGTTATGTTTTCGATTCACTGCTTTCTTCGTACCTTAAGGGGACACATTTTTTTCCAACATACCATGTATAAAGGCGACACTGAGGCTCTTGACTGAACGCAGGGCACGGAGAAAGAAGTATTTAAAGGGACACTAAAGTTAACTATTAAGTCGACGTTGATTGTTGAAATGGCGGTTCAGAAAGCTCGTAGTGTTACTTTTGTGCCAAGGAAGGGCATCTTTTGAAATAAGATCACGTTTTAGTGGTCCGCATTACCTGCCTCAAGAAGCGGACCGACCGGTCCTTATCACGTCACTGTTACCGTGCACAATGTTGCCCGGCTTCACTGCGCTAGTAGCAGCATACCGAAAGCAGTGGGAGCCACAGCAGCAAAAACGGCCATTGATCAATTTCCTTCCATTGGATCCGAGATTGCAGACGCTTTTGTTTCAACTGCGCCCCGCTAGATGGCACCACCTGTACCACACGAAAGTTTAAATTTTGAACCACTCACGCCATTCCCCATAGTAACGTCCGGTGGTTCTTTTTTCCATGAATCAAACAGAAATGGACAAGCAGCATTTTATTGCGTCTCTTGATGCACGGAAAGTTCTTTATTTAGTGCAGTTAGATCGATTACTAGCAATTAATTGTAGGCGGTCCATCTAATGTCATCGGAATTATTTTGAAAATGTCCTATGCTTGTGTTCTTGTGCATTTACCTTAATTTCTCGGTTAAGTAGGGCACTGTTTCTTGATAATATTGTCGTTTTAGGTGTTGTCATACATTGAGCTTTCACTCTGAGGTAAATTGTTATTTGACTTTAGTGTCCCTTTAAGGAGAGAAACTTCCAGGCTGGGGCCGCGCACGGAGATGATGCGATAGCGTCACATAGGAATACGGTTTACGCTGAAGCCTAACAGATGACGCTTTCGCGCCCTTCGCAATTTCCAGGCTTTCTGTCTCACTATTGTTCTCAGTGCATTGCCCTTCTGTGCATTGCGCTGGCAGTGCCTACTTTTCGGTGTTGGCACGCATTTTTCACTCCGCAACAAAGGAGAGTGCTTTGTAGATATCGATCAATGCGTCAGGATGCGGTGGAAATGTGTTGTGCCTAACTTTAACAGTGGGCACGCATCCAGTAAAGAGAAGGCAATTGGGCACGAGGACATACAGTGGTGCCACCATGCGGAGGCATCCCTGTGACGTATGTGGTAGGATCGCTCCGCCGCCCTCTCGCCCGCAGCCACTTTCGTGCCTCCTATTTTCATTAT